ATTATCTCTGCAACAAAATGGCTGGAAAACCTGCAACTTTCAAATGCCAAACTTGGTCCGATTGACCATCCGAAATCACCCCGAGGCCCCCGGGACCTCAACCAAAAGGGCCAACCCATCCTAAAACATCATTCAAACTTGCTCCAATTATCAAAACACCACAAACAAGACCAAAACCATCAAATTACACTGGATTCAAGCCTAAGTTCTTCTAAAACTTTCGAAATACGCATTCGATCAAAAACCCGACCAAAACACCTCCGAATGACCTGAAATTTTGCGCACAAATCCCAAATCACCTAAAGAAGCTACAGCAACTCTCGGAATTCCATTCCGACCCTCGAATCAAAATCTCACCTATCAACCGGAATTCGCCAAAATACTAACTTTGCCAAAAATCAAGCCTAATTCTACACCGGACCTCCACAATCACTTCCCATCACGCTCCTAAGTCACAAATCATCCCCCGAAGCTAACCGAATCACCGGAAATCACATCCGAGCTCTCTAACTCATAAGTCAACATCCGGTTGACTTTTCCAAAACAAACCTTCCTTAAAGAGACTAAATGTCTCATTTCCTTCTAAAACCAATCCAATTAGACTCATTCACCCAAGACTCTTATAATGAAACATAAGGAAGCAGAAAATGGGGAAAACGGGGCGGTAACTCACGTGACGACGGGCCGGGTCGTCACAAAACTCAACACTTACCTCGCTCCAAAGATCACTCAAAACTTAACCATAGCTTTGCCTTTCAAACAAGCCTCCGAACCAACAATATCTAGCAATTACCAACCAAACGATTCAAAATAAGCCTTATGAATCACCCACGATTGTAAAAGATTCAAAATTTAGGTCACTATTAAAAAAGTCAACAAAAGCCAACTCCCAAGCTCGCTTGGTCCAAACCCAAAATTCGGACCAAAACCCGCCCATTCGCCCCTGAGCCCGGTTATATAATTTTATTTTGGAATCCGACCTCAATTTGAGGTCTAAATCCCAATTTCACAAAAATTTCCAATTCTACCCCAACCCCCAATTTTCACCATGAAAACACTAGATTTTAGGTTGAAATCTTAGGAAATGTAATGAAAGATTGAAAGAAAATGGGTTAGAATCACTTACCAATGATTTTTATTTGGGGAAGAAGGGTGCTTGGGATCGCCTCTAGGGTTTTCTTGTTTTGAAAATTTGAAGAATGAACTACAATCCCGTCTAAATCAAGTTTTACACAGTTGTAGATGTCACAATTGTGATATCATGTTTGCAATTACGAACATCGCAATTGCGAGAAAGAGGTCGCAATTGCGAACTCCTTCCCAAAAATCCCAGCAATTGCATTTGTGATAAAGTGGTAGCAAATGCGAACCCTGATGCCCTCGAAAATGCGGACCTTTCTTTGCAAATGTGAAGATCATCCCAACAGGTGCTGAGTCACAAATGCGACTCTGCCTTCGCAAAATCGGAAAAGACAAGTTCGCAAATATGAACTTTTACCTCGCAAATGCGAGTACCCCCTGCCATGCCCAAGCTCGCAAATACGATGGTTTCTTCGCAAATGCGAGCCAGATCTCGCAAATGCGAAATCTACGGCATACACCAGAAACTAGAATGCATCAGCTATGTTTTCTAAGTCCAATTCACTCTGTAGCCTATCCGAAATTCACCTGAGCCCTCAGAGTCAAACCAAACATGCACACCCGTCCAATAACATCATACAAACTTGCTCGCGCTATCAAATCGCGAAAATAACACCTTGAACTACGAATTGAACACCAGATCAAATGAAATTTTCAAGAAAACTTTGAAACTTCTATTTTTGCATCCGAATGTCCGAATCACATCAAACCAACTCCGTTTCTTACTAAATTTTATAGACAAGTCATAAATATAGTAATGGACCTATACCGGGTTCCGAAACAAAAATATGAATCCGATATCAATAAAGTTTAACATTGGTCAAACTTTCAAAGTTATTAAGCTTTTAAACTTTCAAATTTCCACAAAATGCGACGCCCAAGTCCCAAATCACGATACGGACCCGCCGAGATCGTCGAAACACGGATCTGGGTCCGTCCGCTCAAAATATTGATCGAAGTCTACTCAAATAGATTTCAAAGCAAAAATTTTATATTTTATTAGTTTTTAACATAAAAGCTTTCCGAAAAAATACTGACTACACATGCAAATCGAGGAGGCTAAAATGAGGTATTTGAGGCTTCGAAATACAGAATTAGGTTCTAAAACATAAGATGACCTATCAGGTCATCACAGATTTTTATATTACCTATACTAAAATTAAGAAAAAGAAATAAAAAGAAAAAGAAAATCGGATTAAAACCTGAACTAAAAAGACATCTAAATTAAATCATTCTGGCCAAACTCTTCTCCCTGTCAAGTTCCCTCAAATGGTTCTCCAATTTCCCCCTTCGATTTACCTATAAATCTTAGGGATCTAGTCAAGAAATTTCCATTAAACAATTTTTAATAAGTTTCTGTTTATGTTTGTTGGTTGTGGTGTTTAATCAGTTTGGGTGAGTTCCAATAAAGTGGAATAGTATTCCAATTATGGTGGATCTTCGATTGACAAAGTGGGTTCATTTTCAATATCCGAAAAAAAGTTGAAAAGAAAACCAAAAAAATATGTCTAAGAACTTTTGCAATTACAAAGAAAAATCATAATTATAGGGGAAAAAAAGAACACTAATTCTGCTTTAATGGAAGAAGTTATAAAGAGAAAGAAATAAGAATAATAGCCATAGAAAAGATGGGAAAAATAAAAAAAATATTATTTAGGGGGCTTTTTACTGTTTGAGCTGCTTAGGTGTCATTTTTATACACCTTCACGCGCCAAAGGCTGTTTGAAGCCACTTGTTATGCCATGTGGTAGACCGAGTGTGTATTTAAATTTACTTATTCAAGTGTAGGGGTGTAATTAGGACTAATTATAGTTTGTGGAGAAAACTAATAATCGGTGCCAAATTTAAGGGTGTTTTAAGATATTCTTCCTTAAAAGAACTATGATATATATTAGATAGGGAATGGAATGGGAGTTGGGTATGAGAAAGCGAAGAGAGAGAGAGAAAGAAGATGAACAAATGAGAGGTATTATTTGGCTTTAGACTATTATTTGCTTACATGAAAAAAAATACACGTGTTAATATATTATTCGTTCATTTGCCATGTAAGTGACGTTTGGACCTCACACACAAAGTCTGACATACAGAGGTGCTTAAAAATTACATTTTAGACGAGTTCAAGTGTCTATCTGGTCACCCCGTAAGTTTATATGTTTATTTTACAAAACGTGCCAAGTTTAAGGGGCTATCTAAGATTTTGGCCTTATTTATATATAGTCATACGAATTATTTGTAATATTTTTATATAATTTTTAAATAATTTAAATTATTGATTATTATAATTTATAATAGTTTTTTATAGTATATGAATATATAAATTTTATTTCGAAACATTAAAAGATAATATGTCCAAATACACGGCTTAAGAAATTTAAATTTCACACAGCAAATAATATCACATAAATTGGGGAAAATGCATAAGTACCCCCTGCCCTATACCCGTATTCCCAACTACACACTTTTATCTTTGCGGGGTTTTTATTACCCCCCTAAACTATTATAAAGTGTAATAAACACACCCTTAAAATTGGACAACCAGATTCCTGATGGAGAGTGTTATGCATGCACTGCCAGCTAATAATTTTTTTTTCTTTTTTTTTCTTCTTCTGTTTTTCTTATTATATTCTAGTTTCATATACATGGTCGCCAGCGAATGCAAAATTATTTTTCGACTTTAGAGCTAGTGAATGTGAATTCTTAAATGGAAATCGTAGTCCGAGCTAGAGCAGTACCGTGGAGGGGTTATCGTCGGTAATGGTGGAAAACTCGCTGCCGGCGGTGGTGTTAGACACATCATCATTGGATCTCAGCCTTGGTGGAACTGGTAATTTATTTAGCAATGGTGTGGGTAGATTTTGTTCTTGAATAATTTGTTTTACGGTTCTCCGGTCGCCGGAGGTGTGACGCCGGTGAATCATATGTACTATTTGGAAGATCGCGACGAGGGAGGGTGATTTCTTCATGTAAAAAAAATTGCAGGAAAATGGCCGATTTTATTGTCGATGTTAGTGGAGATTGTTCCGGCGAGTTGGACTCGTCGTCGGTGAAAAAGAAAAAAGGGACTGGATTTATAAAAAGCACAAAAAAATAGTATTAGTCAAAGTTATAGTAATAATTAATTAAGTCTAAAATAATGATATAATTTTCAATTAAAAGTTGTCACTTGTATAAACTAGTCAGTTTTAAACATAAATTTTGCCTCTCACATGCTTTCAAGAGAGTGAACACACTCTCCTTGCCACATCGTCAATTAAGGATGTGTTTATTACACTTTATAATAGCTTAGGGGGTAATAAAAATCCCGCAAAGGTAAAGTGTATAGTTGGGAATGCGGGTATATGACACGGGGTACTTATGCATTTTCCCCATAATTTGGGATAAAAGAAATATAAGTGTCAGGTAATTTGAGCATTAAATTTTGCTTTTATATCTAACCATAAACTATTTTGACATTATTCACTTAATATTCTTAAAGTATATTGGTTTTTTTTTTCTTACTCAGTTAAGTCTTTAAAATCAGAATAGATTTGCCTTTTGCTTATGTTTAAGAAGAAAAAAAAAGTGTAACCAAAAAAAAAAAAAAAAAAAAATAAAGAAAAATGGTGAAAAAGACTCGAAGGCTTAAATGAAGTACTCCATGATGCAAAGAAACCAAAAAATTGCAGCACATAAGATTGTAATATATATTTTTTAAAATTACTTTGTGTTGACTCCAAGATATACGAAAAATTGGTCTTCTGATAATTTTCCCCTCAAAATCAGTATATTCTTGGACAACAAGCACACGATGTTATAAGATAACCGACTCTGGAACCTTCCACACATCGTTCGCATTTTATTAGACGATTCACATTTTACCAGAACCTTCCAGACTTCCACTCCACTATATATAATCCTTCCGTTTCCTTTTCCTCTCCCACTCAAAGTTCAAGTTAAAAAACTACAGTAATTTTCATCAGCATCGATTACGATTATAAATATTCATATATTATTCGAAGATGCCGGTCCGATCAACGGGAGGAATCAGACAAGAGTGGGAGCCAGTCGTGCTCCACAAGCCAAAGTTGAAGGCACAAGACTTGAGGGATCCAAAGGTTGTAAACCAGGCATTGCGAACCGGAGCACAGGTTCAAACGGTGAAGAAATTCGACGCCGGTTTGAATAAGAAAACGACTGCCGCTTCTGCTGTCGTTAACGTTAGAAAACTGGATGAGGCGGCGGAACCGGCAGCGCTTGAGAAAGTACCGGTGGAGGTGAGGCAAGCTATACAAAAGGCGAGGATTGAAAAGAAGATGAGCCAAGCTGATTTGGCGAAACTGATCAATGAACGGCCACAGGTTGTTGCAGAATATGAGAATGGTAAGGCCGTTCCTAATCAATTGGTGTTGGCCAAAATGGAGAAGATCCTTGGTGTTAAACTTAGAGGTAAAATTCACAAGTGAGTGTTTGTATGAGATTGCGAAGTTCATGGTTGTATTGTTAATAACTTATGGTTGTATTGTTAATAACTTGTGGATTCTCCAGGATTTCGTGTTCTGATCTGATTAATCGTCTTGTAACTGTTTAGAAGCTGTGGCTATGTAAAAAATATGGTGTAATGTGTTCATTTTAGTGAAAAATGGTAGTACTCTGTTTCAATTTTAAGTGGTACTAGTACTCTATTTTAAGCGTTTTGTAATTGTTTAGAAGTTATGGCTATGTAAAATATAGTCTCTTGTGTTCATTTTGGTGAAAAATGGTACACCAGTAATCTGTTTCAATTTTTTTTATAGATATTTTTAATTGTTAATTGATGTGATTAGTAGTTTTTTTACACAGTTTTTAAGTATATACTTTTTAATTTTTTTTTTGTACATTTTATATTTGAATTTATGGTAAGACTATGATACATAAATTAATATAGAAGGTGTAATGTGTTTTTTCTGGGCAAAATATTTATCAAAAGTTAAGCATGGTTAAATTCGACGCGTAAAAAGTGAAGTTTAACAGATACACCTTAAGTATTTTTATGAGGTGTTTGCTGGAACCTCAGACTTGAGAAATTTTATTTTGAGTGAGATATGCGAACTAATACTTTAGTGATGGCATTGATTTGCTTACCAAATGGTACCTTTGGGATCCGAAATTAATGAAAAATAAAAAAAAAATACCTCCTCTCTCCCGTGCCCCTAACCTACCCCACCCGCTCCTCTCTTTCTTCTCTTCTTCTTCCTCCTCCCATAACCATATAGAAAAACAACCCATCGACTATTATCTTCTACAGTTTCAAAAAATATTTCAAGTTGCTACATTTCAGTCTTTAAAAACTGTATGAACCCGGTAGAAATTAAACAAAGCTCATGATTCAAAACTTCTTCGGTATTTTTAAGTTTTGTAAATCTAACCCATTAATTTTGTTTGATTGACCTGCCATTGATATACAGATTAGAAATCAATAAACAAGTGGAATATTATGTATATATACACAAGATTAGAGAGAAACATATACGTGCAAAAAAAAATGTACTTCACACTATCGGATAGATAATTTTGGGCGAGACTGCATTGATCTCAGTAGGCGTTTGGACATGAATTTTAATTTTTTCTTTTCAAATTTGAAATTTTACTAAAATTTGAATTGAAGATGAAGTTGTGTTTGGTTATAATTTTTATAATATATTTTGGTGTTTTTTTTTTTTTTCAAAATCATGAAACATGATTTATATACTACAACTTGTAAAAATATCAAAACCATCATAATTTGATTATCCTACTTGAAATAAACAATCAAAATGTTATTGTTTAACTGTTATCATATTCTGCGTTACTGCAATACACAGAAGATGCAAATCAATCAGGACTGATGTTCCATCGTGAGTCCCCAAAGATGTATCTGCCAAAGATGAAAAATTGATGGGTCATTTTATAAATTTTAAAAATATAGGGTAAATTGGTAAAATTAAAAACTAGCAAATTCTCATTTTCGCAAACTAGAAAATTTGCGAGTTCTTGGTCGCATTTGCCACCTAGGCAGTGGGAGCTCCTGGTTCGCATTTACGATATTTTGGTCACATTTGCGACCTTGGCAGGGGAGGCCCATGTTCGCAATTGCGACCGTCGCATTTGCGAACCAGGTGTCGCAAATGCGACATCTGAGGCCTGTGCACAGCTATTAATTTCGAGACTTAGACTATTTAGCTCATTTCCTTTCATGTCTTAGGCGATTGTTGGAGCTTTTGGAAGAGAGTTTTCACCTAGCACTTTGAGGTAAGTAATTTCTACACAACATGAGTTAAATACATAGATTATGAGTAGATTAATATGTGAAAATTAGGGAAAATTAAGGGTTCAGATGAAAAACCTAGAGTTTGATAAAAATAAGATTTAACCACGAAATTTGTTAGGGAATGGAGCAAAAATCATATATTCTTGATCTTTAGGTTATGGGTAAGCAACTTTCTTAAAAAAAATTCGGAATCCGGGCACGTGGGCACGAGGATGAATTTTTAGGAACCTTGCATTTAGGGTTGGAAAATTGGTTTAATAATTAGAATATGAACTTTTGAGCATGTATTGACTAGTTCTTACTCCATTTGAATAGTTTTGGATCGTTCGGCTCCAATTTGGAGGTTTGAGCGCGTTCTTGAATTGGGATATAGGCTTCGGAGCGAGGTGAGTCTCCTTTCTAACCTTGTAAGAGTGAATTGTCCCCATAGGTGAATTAATTGAATATGTGCTGCTAATTGTGGGGGCTACGTAGGCACGAGGTGACGAGAGTTCGTGCGTAGCTACTATTATGCTTATGTCCGGGTAGTCTAGGACTCAAAAGCATGCTTACTTGTAATAAATGCAACCTTATTGATAGTTTAAATTGCTTAAATCATATCGAAGTGGCAAATGATTTTCTAAAAGAATTAAATTTCATTTTCATGACTTGTAAAAAGGGAAATTTACACCTCCTTGAATAATTGTTTCCTTGATGAATGTCTTGATTGACTGTTTGAATATGTGTTTCTATGTGTACCTGCGTCGAATGTATGATTCGCGAGCAGTGTTTATTTATATGTTACCGCGTCACATGTATGGTTCGCGAGCGGGGTAATAGATGCATCTATGGTTCGCGCCATTCGACCCTCTAGCAGTGCACAGTTTAAATATTGTTGGATCGGGTCGTACGACCTCGGCATGATTTGCGCATGCTTGTATTGCTTGCCTTGAAATTTATTGAAGTGATATTGTTTCTTTCCGGTTTGAGAATAAATGTATAAATGATGAAAAGGAATTTGGGAATTTTCTATAAAAGAAAGAATTGTTTACTTGCTTCATTCTATTGAATTACAATCATGTTTATAAAAATTCCCGATTTATTATATCACTGAGGTATCATTATTGGACCCCTAGTAAGTGTCGAAGTCGACCTCTCGTCTCTACTTCTTCGAGATTAGACTGGATACTTACTGAGTACATGTTATTTTTGTACTCATGCTACACTTGCTGTGCATTTGCACAAGTACCTGTATTTCTACTTTTCTAGCGGCCTACTGGGCGTAGCAGCATGGATGATACGGGGACTAGGTGAGCTGCATTTCTCGAGGCGGCCCCGCAACCAGTATGTCTCTTTCAGCGTATTATATTTATTTTCTGTCCAATTGTATTCCGGACAGTTATTGTAATTTATTCGATTCCTTAGTAATAGCTCATGCACTTGTGACACCGGGTTCTGGGATGTCTATGGGATTATTCAGTATTTTTAAAATTGTTAAAGATATTATTATTTATTCAGTGGAACTTATTCTTTATTGTTTAAATATATAAAAGAAGTAAATTCAGAGATATCTAAAACACGAAGTTATTAATTAATAAGTGTTGGCTTGCCTTACAATGGTGTCCGACGCCATCACGACCCTTAGTGGATTTTGGGTCGTGACAACTTAGTCAACACTGTGCTGCTGGAAAAAGTGTGAAAGTCCACAAAAATTTATTTTGAAGATAAATTAGATAATAGGATAGTAAATAAGCTTTTGTGAGGCCCTCTCTGTGTTAACTGGGCAAAGACAGTCAGAGACAAAGATGTAAGGATTTTATTGTAGTTTTCTTTACACAACGAGTAACTGTAAATCAAAAGAAAATCACAACAGCATACATTAATGAAACAAAGAGGATTCCAATTTTTTTCTTAGATTTGGCTTCCTTTACAAGTAATGATTGCAGAACAAAGACTACATATTACTGTCCCCCTCACTTATTTCCTCTTCTGTTCGTCTCAGTTTGCTATATCCCAAATTTTTTGGAACTTAAATGCCAGTCTTTTGAATTTTCACTGCCGGAAAAAACAACCTCCTCCCAAATTATTCTAATATTCTAATCATATAAAAGTATTGTTATCTAACATGTTAATATTTATTAGATTCCTGACGCCTATAATGGACATGAACGAGTACCACAAACATCAATGATGCCTAGTATTGCTCAACCTTCTCACGGTACTACTCATCTTTGTCCTTCGTCGCTACTGCTTGAGTTTTCCTCCTTCGATTTTTATTAATTTATTGTTGTATTTAGGTTTACCTTGGATGCTTTTTGCTTTTATATACTCTTTTCTCACGGTTGTTGATGTCGTAAGATTGTGATAATAGTGAATCATTTTAAAAATAAGTTTTTTCTTTGATAGTGATTATATGTGTAATATGATTTATTTATTCGGACATTATTTATGTCCTTAAATCAATTTACAGTTGCCTGCTTGAATTAAATTCACCTTTTCCATAATAGAATGAGGTCAGATGAAGAAAGCACTAGAATGATAATCCAAGAGGTATAAAGCTCACCGTTTATATTTTGTAACTGCAACTCCTTTGATATGTATATAGTGCCCGCCATTCGACTTTTCCTTCTTTCCAAGCCTCCGATTCATCAGTGTCTTGATTTCTACCAGGACTAAATATAAAATCACCCTCTGAAACTTTCTGTTGGATCTCACTAGAAATATTTGATCTTTTAACCTGCCACTGAACTTCAGAACAAGTGCTAAGTTCATCGATTGTTGAGAACGCTACATTAGAAGGACAAGAAAACTCAGCTTGATTATCCACCCACTTCACATGTCCTTTATCCATCACAATTACCAAGTCTGCAACACATATTGCCTGTAAAGTAAAAGAATAGATTAGCATATGGGATATAGGCACACTACTTTAGATATCCTAAATGAATGGTCCTCTGTATTGCCAATGTTTAGTCAATTTATTAATAAAGACGTCGTTCTCAACTTGTTTGGAATTGAGGCGTACTTGTCGTTGATGGCTGTGCTTTAAATTCCTAACCTGAGATTACTGCATCTTTTCTAATTATAAAAGCATTTCTACTTCTTTCTTTAATAACAGACTAGTAGTCGTACCCGCGCGATGCGCGGTCAATATTAAAAAAATATTAATTAAATTAATGATCAGGCTTGTTTGATCCTATTAAATCGTATTGCTTTAATAAAATTCAATTGTCATCTTGTTTGTCAATGCGATATACCCAATAATGAAATCTGTATTAAATCAAAGGTACTTATATAGTCAGTGAATAACTTTTTTGTTCTATTTTTCTTTATTATACTAAGCAATATTTAGTATTCGCTTTCTTTTTGTAATATATGAAAAGATATATAATTTATTACTATTGAAATATTTTTTTATTTTAAATTTTATTCTGTTGTTCTTAATAATATTATCTAAATTTTAGTGAATAAAATCTATGTTAAATATTATCTATATTTATTAATTCAAATAGAGTAACCTATATATATATATATATATATAAATTCATATAAATGGTAGTTTTGTATTTTTTTAATTTTCGTTTTTTATATATATTTAAATTTAAAAATAATAACCAATAACTAATTATTAATTAAAAATAACTACCAATTTGAATGGGTAGTTATTTTCTTATATATTTATATTTTCGTTTTTTTTATTATAGTTAATTATAAGATATCTATTTTTATTTTAAAATCATTTTAAAACTCCAACTTGAAACTACTCCCCGATTTGAATGGGTTGTTTTTCTTCTCTTTTTTTCATTTTTTTATAGCTTTTTTTTTGCTTTTTTTGATTTTAAAATAATTTTAAAAACTCCAACTTGAAACTACTCCCACCCAATTTGAATGTGTAGTTATTTTTTTTATATTTTATATTTCCATTTTTTTTATTATAGTTAATTATAAGATATCTATATTTATATTCAATTTAAAGTAACCAATTAATATATATATATTATATATAATATATATATACTATATATTATATATATATATAATTATATATATATATATAAATTCTATATAGGTAGTTTTTTATTCTTTTATTCTATATTTATTAATTCAAATTAAAGTAACCAATTAATATATATATATATATATATATATATATATTTATATTATATTATATATAATATTATATATTATATATATATATATATATATATATTTCATATATATGGTAGCTTTGTATTTTTTAATTGCTTTTTTATATATATTTAAATTTAAAATAATAACCAACAACTAATTATTAATTAAAAAAATAACTACCAATTTGGAATGGGTAGTTATTTTCTTATATATTTATATTTTCGTTTTTTTTTTATTATAGTTAATTATAAAGATATCTATTTTATTTTTAAATTATTTTAAAACTCCAACTTGAAACTACTCCCTGATTTGAATGGGTAGTTTTTCTTCTCTTTTTTTTTAATAGCTTTTTTTTTTTTTTGCTTTTTTATTTTAAAATAATTTAAAAACTCCAACTTGAAACTACTCCCACCCAATTTAAAATTTGAATGGGTAGTTATTTTTCTATATATTTATATTTTCATTTTTTATTATAGTTAATTATAAGAAATCTATATTTATTAATTCAATTAAAGTAACCAATTTATATATATATAGTATAATATATATATTATATATATATATAATATATATATATATATATATATATATGGTACTTTTTTTTATTATTATCTTTTTTTAGATATATTTAAATTCAAAAAGAATAACTAATAACTAATTATTAACTAAATAACTAATTTAATAACTAATTATGCCATGTGGCTTTTTTTTAAGCTGCCACTTGGCTTAAGGAGAGGGCTTTTTCCTCTCCTTTTAATAATATATAGATAGATTACAAAAACAGAAATGCACCTTTACTTATTATTAGGCATTTCCAGTTCTTTTTTACCTAGAGTTCTCAAGAAATGCCAACAAACAATAGTAAATTGTTTCACCATCATAATTTGGTTCATGAATCAATATCACTCACCTTGTAACATACATACTGATAGTTGAGCAACATGTCATTGAGAGAAAGGACAAATACAACTGCATATATAGATTTCCAGAAATGCACAAGGATCAACTTAAGTAAATTACAACCATATCTTACACGGGCACATCCTTCTCCTAGCTCCAAATGGCAAAAGCATAATTGTTTGTACATGCATATTCGTCTATTAATCCATCTAGTTATTTTTGCTTATAGATGTTAGGTGAGGGAGTTGAATGACAAAGAATCGAACAGTGATGAAATATGCAAGTTCACATTATATTTGATCTTTTGACACAATTATTTTATAATTTCAGGTCATACAGTCTGATGTTTAATAATTTAGCGGGTGGAAGATTTCAAAATGATGAAAAGTTGCGAAAATTATTTGAAGACCTCCATTCGTCTGGATTAGTATATAATGACATTGGCTATTTAGTCCAAACAATATAAGTTTATATTTTAAGTTACCGTGACATTAATATTTTTTATTAGTACTTTCTTTTGTTTGTTAAGATTTAATGAGATATATTATATTTTTTTAATTAATATGTTTTATTATTTGGGTCATAGTCTAGACGAATGTAGTAACTATTATTAATGGTGAATAACTATTGCTATTATTGCTTGTGACTTTTAGCACTAATTTAGTTGGATATACTAGCTATAAAAATGGACGATAAAAGGGCAAATTAAGATATTTTCATAAGGTATATTGCAGTCGTCATAATTGATGTAAATCAATTGCTGTTAAAGATATTGACTTTTAGCGGCAATTTAGTAAAACATATTAGCCATTAAAATGGACGCAAAAAAGGCAAACTAGGATGTTTTCAGAAGGAATACTATGGCCATATTAATTGCCACAAAATAATTGCCGTTAAAGATGCAAACTTTTAGCGAAAATTATTTTGAATTTAGCGGCTACAAAAATGGATGCTAAAGAAGTATAATTAGCGGTTTTGGTTTGGACTTAGTAGCCATTGTAATTGCTGCAAATAATTGCCGTTAAAGATAATAATTTTTAGCGGCAATAAACCATACCCTTTACCTTTTGTGAGAAAAGCCGCTAAAGGCTTTGCCGACCCCGGCTTCAGCGGCAAAATACTAATTGCGGGTAAATGATATAGCGGCTATTGTTATTGCCACTAAAGCTGTTTTGTATTGCCGCTAAAGCCCCTTGCCGCTAAAGCCCCTTTTTGTTGTAGTGCCTGCTTGACGACCTCTAGCATGGCCTCATTCAACCTCCTTTGATGTTCCACGGAGGGTTTGGCATCATCCTCTAGTATAATTTTGTGCATGCAAAAGGCGGGGCTTATACCCCGAATGTCAGCCATAGTCCATCCAATTTCCTTCTTACTTCTTTGGAGCACCGCAAGGGTGGCATCTACCTGCACGTTAGTTAAGCCCGAGGAAAGAATAACAAGTAAAGTGGAACAAGGGCCTAAGAACTCATACCTGAGGTGTGAAGGCAAAGGCTTCAACTCCAATATGGGAGGCTCCTCGATTGAGGGCTTCGTTGGTGGGGTCTTCCGGTTCTCAAGATCCAGGGAAAGTTTCTGGGGCTCATATGTATATGAACCCATTTCTTGCAAAGCATTGACACATTCTACCAAGCCTTCATCCTCAGTCATATCATGGTTCAACAACACAGCTTCCAAAGGGTCTTCCACATTAATCATAGCACTGGTGTCTTCAACAATCACCTCGGACACAAGATCCACAAATGAACATACTTCGTTGCTATTGGACTGCCTCATTGACTTGCAAACATGGAACACAACTTTTTCATCACCCACCCGGAAGGTGAGCTCCCCTGCTTCCACATCAACTAAGGCCTTCCCCGTAGCTAGGAAAGGTCCCCCCAATATGATCGGCACTTCATAGTCAACCTCGCAGTCAAGTATCACAGAATCCGCGGGAAGTATGAATTTGTCGACCCGAACTAGCACATCATCAATTATCCCCAATGGCCTATTCATCCTCCTATCCACCATTTGCAACCTCATGGATGTGGGCCTTGGTTGCCCAATTCCCAATGTCTTGAACACAGAATATGGCATCAAGTTAATGCTTGCACCCAAGTCGCACAAAGCTTTGGCGAAATCGGCACTACCAATAGTTCATGGGATTGTAAAAGCACCAGGGTCTTCTAGATTTGGCACCGTGGAATGCACAATAGCACTCACTTAGTGAGTCATTTTGATTGTTTCACAGTTCATTGACCTCTTCTTTGTTACCAAATCCTTCATCAACTTGGCATATCCCGACATTTGTTCTAGAGCTTCAACCAAAGGCACATTTATTGACAAACTTTTCATCATATCAATGAATTTCTTGAACTGGTTCTCATTATTTTGTTTTTCAAGTCTTTAAGGATATGGTGGAGGAGGCCTTGGCAAAGGAGCCTTGGCTTTGGGCACTACCGTTTCCGGTATGTCTATCATGTGTTCCCTAGACGGGTTCACATCATTTTGTGTCTCCTCCACGTTGTCATCATTGTCTATCCTCACTTCTTCATTCACATTCTCATCACTCACTTGCACATTATTGCTTGATTCATCATCATCTTGCACTAACACATCATCACTCACAACCTTTCTTTACCTCTACCACTCGTTGTAGTAACCGCCATAGCATGGCCCGTATTGTTTCCACCCTTCGGGTTTACTACCGTATCACTTGGTAGTGCCCCCTTAGGGAGAGTATTCAAAGCTTGTGAAATTTGGCAGAGTTGGACCACCAAGTTGCGGATAGAAGTATTGTGGGATGCCAATTGGGCATCAGAGTCGACATTTTTCTTCATCATTTGCTCAAACATGGATTCAATCCGTCCCATCTCATTGTTGTTGATTCTGAGCATTACCCCGTTGACCTTGGTAGTTGTTCACATATTGGACCTCTTCAC